CTGGCTCCACCCTACTCATTCGAATATTCAATTATCATTGGTCCTTTACCATCAGGCAACACCCATAGTCACTGTCCATTCCCGATTTCCTGTGTCCGGTAATACATCATTTGACGTTTCCTTTACTTTTTCAGGTATGTCGACAGCATACCACCACCCAACTCTCGGGAGAAGGTTAGCTGGTGGTATCTATTTGACTAAGGAAATGGAATGTTCAATGGGTCATTAACCTACAGGCTAAAACAGTATTGCATTGTATAGCCTCTTTGGATACGGGATAGTGGATTAATATAAATAAATAATATAGAATAAATTTAAAGGTACTTAAGATTAACTAAAAAAATATACAAAAATACACCCTACTACATCCTCCCCTGCTTTAGCGAATGTCGTCTCGACATTACATTTATGGGAAATAGGAGGGCTAATTTAGTCCTCAAATTTGCTGTTAAGACAAAGCATAAAACAATTCAAAATGGCGAACAACAAACTTAAAGGAAAATATCATCAAGTAAAAATAAATCATATACGGTAACAGAAAACTTATTGTTAAATTACAAACAACATTTGTCGATTGAAACAAACAAGTAACACAAATTTCTTAAACGAGAGCAATATAAATATAAAGTCAAAAAAAATTACAATGTGTAACAAAAATAGATAAAAATTCTAAAAATCCTTTAGAAACATCAAACAATAGCAATTTAAGCGCCAACCTATGTTCTGGTTGGGAATTCGCCTACCTATTGGGGACATCAGACCCCCGTCGGGCAAATCCTGGTGCCACCAAACCTTGACATTTTGATTTAGTGGTGAGGAACATGTATCCTTGAACAGTTAATAGGAAGAAGAAACATAGAAACGTTAGACACACATAATGTAGGCAGCGGGTGTGGGGGAGGGGGTACTGGCACCACCTCTGGGTGAAATAATTACAATTTAGTGAAATCTAGTTTTTTATTTTGCTACAATTTAGCCATTTTGCCACAACATGCCTCAAATCTGATTGATTATTTAGGTAGATTAAATAGAAAATTCATGTATATGTGACAGGTTCGTACTAGCTCGTAGTCGTATCGCGTAGTAAATCCAAAGCTGCAGCGCTGGCACAGACACAATAAAAATCAACAGAGGCCGTTCTCAGTTGGTGGATGTTCAAATACTTTTATTGATCTAGTGACCAGTCGGAAGGAGATATAAAAAATACTGTGTTAGTATTTTCATCGATATTCAATATTAGCGATTGTAATATTATCGATAACGTACATCTTTTAAATACAACTTATGATTAAAAATCATAACATTTAAAGTAAATTGTCTTGGTGACAATTGCATTATAAATAGGCATAATTATAAGCATATGTAATTTTTGACGCACGCGTTCGCGCACGTTAAGACGCGCAAACAAAAAGTAAGATACCTAACATTCAACCTTGACCTGAAGTATAAGCCCATTTATTATTATTCAGAAATGACGAATGGTTAAGATGATTTGACGTCATCAACATTTTGAGAAGAGAAATATATATATATTATTAAATTCAAAGGGCAATATGATGACGTCACAATGTCCGATCAGTCATTATGATCTATACAATCGTATCTACAACTCATGTGCTTTCAGAATATGTAATAAAAATTGGGGGTCACCTTTCATCCTAAGGAGTTATATTTGATAATAAATAGGCATAATTATAAGCATATGTAATTTTTGACGCACGCGTACACGTACGTTAAGACACGCAAACAAAATAGTAAGATACCTAATATTCAACCTTGACCTAAAGTATATAAGCCCATTTTATATTACTCAGAAATGACAAATGGTTAAGATGATATGACGTCATCAACGTTTTGAGAAAAGAAATATAAATTGTTTCTTGTTTTATAATTCAGATGGCAATATGATGACGTCACAATGTCCGATCAGCTATTATGATATATCAAATCACATCTACAGCTCAAGTGCTTTCAGAATATGTAATAAAAATTGGGGGTCACCTTTCATCCTAAGGAGCTATAACTGATTAAAAAACGACATGATATAAAGCATATTTAATTTTGACGCACGCTAACGCTCGCATTATTACGCGCGCACAAAAATACAATGTACATAACATTTAACCATGACCTGAAGTTTATGCCCAGTAAATAGGATTCAGAAGTCACGAATGATTAAAGTGATTATGGGGTCATCAATGTTTTGACGAAAGAAAGATGAGGGGGTAAGCAAAACCCTATATTTTGACCATGATAACGTCATCAAAATGTAAAAGTGTCACATATTGGAAAGAGAATTGCCTCAGCTATAAGTTGGAAAAAATCGACCAAGAATAAGCGAGATACGCTCAAATGCGCATTTTTTTTAAATGACGTCATCGATAATACTCAGTTTGTTGAATTCAGATGGCAATATGATGATATCATAATATCCGATCAGCCATTATGACCTATAAAATCATATGTACAACTCATGTGCTTTCAGAATATGTAATAAAAATTGGGGGTCACCTTTCATCCTGAGGAACTATAACTGATTGAAAATGGGTACAATTTTGACTCATTTTGACTGAAAATAGACAAAAACGCGCAAATACACACATATCTTAGATGTGCGCGTACTGCACTATTATTAGACGTAAAATTATTGAAAAGAATGCAAATATGTCATTGCAGTGTAAGAAATTTAAAATATGTCAAAAATTGTAATTTGAATCAGCTGCACGAGCTGCGCATGCGAAAATGCGCGCGCGACCTGAACATTTTTGAAAAAGTTGAAATGCTCAGAATCACCTGAAACGTACACAAATTTAGTCAAAATGTGATTTTAAGCAAATTTACTTTTTAGCGCACGCGTACGTGCGCGTAAAGAACTGCAATTCGGACAGTACTGTGCATGTGGATAGTACTTGACATGAAGTATACCTGTGTGAAGTTTCAACAAAAGAGGCCTAACGATGGTGAAGTTATGATCAATCAAAAAATTTGCTACGTAAAACGCAAAATTGCGCGTAGATAAAGTCACGCGTGACTGATCACGCTGAAAAGTTTATTGTATCGATTCCACCCCAAGACTAATGATTGTTGAACATATCATGTTGATCGGTTGAAGCAATCTTGATATATAGAGGTCACAAAAATTGACACAAAGAAAGAAGAAAAAGAAAGAAAGAAAGAAAGAAAGAAAGTAAGAAAGATTCTGACAATAACAAGAGGTGATCCGCTAACGTTAGCGGATCACCAATAAATACATAAATGCTTACCTAGTGACCTGTCGGAAGGAGATGAAAACCTTCGCCCTGGGCTAGGCACCGGTAAGTGTCATTCATTCTCAATTGGGTAACCATGACAATTAACACCAACTGATCTACATTTACTATATTGATCAGTACCCAGAACAATGTTGTATGTCATATATCAAGCTATACAGGTAACATGAGTATTTTAAAGCTTAAATTAATTGTAAAAATGGAATTATAATAGAAACCATGAAATTTGAGGTTTTTAGGCACTTTCAGGGGATGAAAGGGCATTTATAAAGGGGCTGTCTCTTATACACATCTAGATGTGTATAAGAGACAGATCTGTTTTAGTGTGGTTATTTATTATCCAAAGTCTTAATCTAATGGGTCACACAAGGTTGCCCACTGGTAGAAGGTCAGATTCAGCAGACTAAATACTTAATGGTATAGGGTATAATAAGCATACCTGTTACATATATATCAGATGACAACAACTACTCACGATAGCTGCTTGTTTCTTTGCTACAAGTCATCAATTTAGTAACAAGGTGGTAGTAATGTAGAGGTTAAAATGTATATTAACTTAGCATTTTGTCTAGATTTGAACTTGTCACTTCGGACTGTAGCCAGGATTTTCAAACTGCAGGAAATATCAAGTCTGCTGCCCTCTCTCAGGATGTCAAAGATTTAATGAAATAGGTGAGGAGAGGATAGAAAAACATTCATTTTGACCATGATGACGTCATCAAAATGAAAAATGAAGGGACAATTCCGAAAGAGAATTTTCTCAACTATAACATAGTGGGAGACGATCGATCAAGAATAAGCGAGATACGTTCAAATGAGTATAAAAATAAATATGTCATAAATAAAAATTCAGTTTTTTAAAATTCTGATGGCAGTATGATGACATCACGATGTCCAATCGGCCATTATGATTTATAAAATCATATCTACAACTCATGTGCTTTCAGAATATGTAATAAAAATTGGGGGTCACCTTTCATCCTTAGGATATAACCAAAGATAGAGATCTCCACAGAAAAAAACTGTTCCACCGAAATGCCTGGTGGTAATATAAACAATTGGGCACCGCATATAGCTGGAACTAAAAAACTTCTGCCACTGTTAACTGTGAATACATTCATAACCTCCCTTTGCGGAGGTTGAAATCGTTGCCATTATCCATTAGATACGTATGTGCACGTTAAGACGTGCGAGCGTAAAAATAAGGTACATAATATTCAACCTTGACCTGAAGTTTATGCCCACTGAATATGATTCAGAAATGACGAATGGTTGATATGTTATGTGGTCATCAAAGTTTTGAGGAAAGAAAGATGAGGGAGTCTGAAAAAACATTTATTTTTACCATGATGACATCATCAAAATGAAAAAAAAAGCTATAACATACTCAAAGTTGGGAGACAATCCATCAAGGATAAGCCAGATACGCTCAAATGCGTATTTTCAAAAATGACGTCATACAGTATTGGATAAAATTCAGTTTTTAAAAATTCAGATGGCCAAATGATGACGTCACAATGTCCGATCAGCCATTATAGTATATAAAATCATATTTACAACTCACATGCTGCATATCTGGCCATTAACAGAATTGGTCCATGGCACCCGGATTTTGGAAAAAAACCCGGGTTATACATACTGCTGGTTCGTTGAATAGCGAAGGGTTCTTAAATTATTTATTGCCACTGAAGCCCATGAGATGAAGTGAGCGATTGTAATGGGTTCCTTGTTTACATTCCAATGGCTATATGTTGCTGGCCAGGACTCTCTTGTTAACTCCCAATGGACTCTTAAAACCAATTAAAGTTAAGTTTATGGAGCTGCTAACAGCTCCCTCTGGACCATTTCACAGCTCACTCTCAACTACCAGACAGCTCACTATATGGACCATTTCTGCTAACGGGGACTTTTGCCTCATTATGTGCTTTCAGAATATGTAATAAAAATTGGGGGTCACCTTTCATCCTGATTTTAGCATATTTTCACTGTATATCGGCACAAATGTGCGCAAAGATCTCTATGTTGATGTGCACGTACGGCATTGCTATTGGAAATAAGATGACTGAAAAGAATGAAAATTTGTGAAAACAATGTCAGGAACCCAAAATATGTAAAAAATGTAATTTCTAGCTTCCGTACGTGGTGTGTGCATAAAAATGTAGTGGAAAATGTCAAAAAAATTTGAAATGCTCAAAATGGCCTGAAACATGCTCTTTTAGTCAAAAAGGAACATTTTGAAATTTTTACGCACACATGCGCGCACGTTACAACACGCAAAATATTCCAATACGTGATATATTTAACCTTGACCTGAAGTTTATGTCCACTAAATATGATTTAGAAATGACAATTGGTTAGGATGATATGATCATTAGCATAGATGACATCACGCTTGACTGAGCAAATTGACAACCTTATTGTAACTATTCCAGGCCAAGCCAAATGTTCATGGAAGTGGGCATTTCTTGTTAGCCAATTTTGAGATATTGTGCTAACAAGAAATGGGGAGAAAGGTAGAATAAAAAAAAAAGTTGATGATCTGATGAGCTCGTGAAGCGAATCACTAATAAATATTGTTGTCTTTTAACAGCGCCCTCAGTCACCAAAGATTCAGTACTGGAAGGAACGTTTTTATTAATGAAATGGAATACTGCTACCTGTAACAGCACCCAGAATAATTTGAGTTACCATTATGAACTATCAGGAGGAGTCCACCAAGGAAGTACAACAAAAACTGAAGTTCTTATAAATGACGGAATTGTACCTTGTACTCAGTACACATTTTCAGTTTTTGCGTCGTATATGAATGTTAGCAGCATTACTGATATTATGGAGTTCATGTCTGGTGTTGACTGTAAGATTTTTTTCATTATACGAATGCAAAGAACATATTATTTGAAACATGTTAATATTTTTCATAGTGTATTGTTTATTACATTTCTTACCTTTATAATATATTGTATGTTGTTTCTAAATTATCAAATGCCATTAATTCAATGCTTGACAATATATTATACACATTACAGTATACTGTTTACTTTGAAATAAAACACTAATAATCAAATTTAAGACACAAGTATTTGTAATTCAGTAAAATAAATTGTTTCAATCTGTGTGCCAGTGGAAGTAAAATAATACTCATAAAGTGGTAATTAAAACATCTATTAATATTGTTTCCGTAAGACATTGACACCGTGTGATGTGATTGATTGCTTTCTATCGTTTAAGATAAATGAAGCCGACCTAATGGCGAGACAACAACTATTATATAGTCTGTAGTCTATAATTAGGAACAATTTAAAAGTGAATCAAAAAGTAAAAATTATGTTTAAAAAAATCAAATGAAATTTCATTTATTTATTCAGACAAGTGCCTTAGGGCCCCAAAAGCAACTTAGTCACCATGACGTAAGCCTGGAGCGACAGAAAACTAAACTTAACTACATGATTAACTATAATATAAAAATATAAATGTGAAAGGCCAAGATAATTGAAATTCACACACAATTGAATAATTGATAAAAGAACTATAAAAATCGAATAAAAATTGTTTTTTCGGTTAGATTTCAAAGATAGATCAAATACACTATTGGTAAATGAGAAAATCGTTTTTAATAAATAGATAATCAAAATTTCTTTATGTAAGTAAACTATCAAAGAAGATATCAAACATTTTCTCTTGAGTTGTACTGTAGCAAATTAAATCCAATTAGAACAAAATATTTAGTGAGTTTGATGCATACCCTACTGATGCTGCTACTTTTACTACTTCTACTACGAACTACATAATAACAACAATAATAATTAATAATAATATTAATAACTAATAATAATAAATAATAATACTATTATTATTATTATTATTATTATTGTTATTAGTAGTAGTAGTATTATTATTATCATTATTATGGCGCTATATAAGTTCCATGATTGATTGATTGATTTATTGATTGATATCCCCACAGATCCTGGAAAACCAACCATTAGTTCCTTAACATCAACGTCTTCATCAATCACACTGGAATTGACTTTATCTGATGATAATCCTTGCACAATACTAGGATACAATGTGCTTGTATATAGTGATATACAGAATTTAGAGTTCAATATAGATACCACAGCGACTTCACTGACAATTAATGAAAATATAATGCCGAGTACTATCTACAATGTCCAGGTTTGCAATAGAAATATAAACATATATATAGTACAAATGCATTAATGCATCTAATCAAATAAATGATACTAATAAACAAACATGTCATACATCATCATCAGGTAATCTTAGAGTATGCTATTACCCGTTTATTTAATACTGGTCAGATGTATGGCAAACAAGCAATACTAATGTAAGTCATGCATATTAAAGCTAAATACTGTGGTAAGTCATGTAAACAATTAGAATGAAATGGTGATATTGTAATAAGTTGTTTTTTAATTTATTGAAGGATTTTCCCGAGCAAAGGGTTTCTTTAATTTTAAGTTGATAATTATTGTGGGCGAAATCAAGAAGTGAAACGGTCTGAATTGGATGTATTTTTCTATGTAACTGTAAGGTTGAACAATGTTTGAAGACTTGTCCGGAACCAATTACTCATTTGCCTGTGTTCCTATGTGTGTTTTTGTTTTACAAATATATACGGAGTTACACCCTGCGCAAGTAAATTTGTCGACATCTTGGGCTCCGAGAAGTCGGGACATAGTCCTTTACATTAAACCAATAGATAAATGATGATTTAAAGCAATACTTTTTAACCATGGAGTTAATTTTTTATTGAAAATATTTGAATAATGGTACATAACTTAAAATAAGTGTTGCATTTTAGGAGCATACAAAAGGGTGGGCGATAATTTATTAATTTATGTATTATTTTATCAATTAATAAAATTAGATAATTTTTCGAAAAAAAATTGTTATGACAGTCTTTCCAAGTGTTTGATTTTAAAATACGACCAGTCAGGGTACGTAGAAGTCCACTGTTACAGTATGTATTGTATGTGACATAAAGCTAGAAATTTGTTAACAAGCATGTATATGTGTTTTTATAACAGGCTGAGGTTGTGATCAAGATTATAGAAAAGAATGTCAGTGAAGAATAATATTTTGTTGTACAGCACTCCATTTTTTCAAATTGAATCTCATTGATGGGTGTTGTTTATTTATAAAATGTTAGAATCATGTTCGGAATAAAATAAGCCAAACATCATCAAAAAAGGAACAGGTTCATCAATAAACGATAGTGTCCCATGAAGAGGTAGCTAAGCCATTGAGTCTCATAGGAGTGATGTCAAATACATGCTAACAAAATTTGGGTGAATCAGTAGAAATTTATCTTCTGTGTGCTTTACAATTTCTTTACAAAACGTTGGAGGCATCCTACCCTTATAATTGTAGGGCCCTTTTTTAATTTGCTAAATTTACTGTGTTCCTTGACGATTGTACCGTAACGGTAATTATCTCTGGTCATCACAACTTCTCCATTTTCTTTGTCCGGTTTAATAATAATAATTCCTTTGTTCTTAATTTCTTGCATAGCTTTGTTTTTGATTTTTTGTTTTGTTTTGTTTTTTTTTTTTTTTTAAATTCATTTATTATAATGATTGATTACCAACTATTGCCAAAGAAAAATCAACTTCATGGTCAATAAGTGGGCTGTAAGTATACACAGCAAACCTAATTTAAATATCATTTACTATCATTTCCTAGCTAAATCTTGGCTTAAATATTCACTCTGAGCATATAATACAGTTGCATGAGAGAAAATGTCTGGCGATTACATTTGGTTTATACCGAACTAGGTATTTGTGGTCCAGCGGTATACCACTTGCCTTGTTAGCAGGTGGCTGCAACTTAGAATGTCTATAGAGACATTTCTTCATACAAATGACAACCAAAAAATGGAACTTTTATTTGAAGAGTTATGCTTGATACCATTTTAATAATAATATTAAAATAATAATAATAATAATACTAATAATAATAGTAGTAGCAGTAATTGTAATACAATAATATTAATAATGATAATAATAGGTCGATTTTTAAGGTGCAAATAAACAAGGTCTCTAAGTGCCATATTTTTTTTACATCAAATGTTCCTATTAGAGCACTGTTACTAGGCCTTATATTGTTTATTTGTTGTGCAGTGTTGCAATTTAAATATTTATTATGATGTACAATTATTATTGCATTATTCCATTACATTATAATTATAAAATAGTGCATTTTCTGTAGAAAACCAATAGTTACATAATAAATTCATTGTATATAAAAATACAGATAACAAAATGTAGTAAAAACAATCTACAAAATATTGGATTTTTAACCATAGATCAATATCAATTTAAGGTACGAAAAACATAATAAATTCAAAAAATTATCAATATTAGGTCTTCCACTGAGCTTGCAAACCGAAGATCGATTGTGCATAAAAACCGACTGCATGTGCTTTGAAGTTCTGCTCTGAATATGCGAGTGTGCCCAATAATTGACTATATGGTCGAAAATCGACTGTACCTCAAAAACGATTGTACATACTCAAAATCAAATGTGTTTGAAAGTTATCCATCTTCTGTTTCATTGTAGTATAACTGATTTATTTTTTTCAAATATTTAGGTAGCAGCCAAAACTCAAAAAGGCTTCGGTAATTTCTCTGATGTTGGTTATGTGTCTACCGATGCAGAGTCTGGCATAGGTACGCAATTTACTAGGTGCTTTTGTGTCTTTGGCTGTAGAATGTCCGTATAATGGATCTACGTTTGAGTGAATCGTCTTTCTCATAACGGGACGTAAAGTCTTCAGTTTTCTGAACATGTTTTCTTATACGGCGGTATGATATAGCCCACCAAATACATGACGATAATTATTGCAATTATCATTAACAAAATATTATAATGAAGTTTGTTCAGTTCTTTTTAATGTTCCAGTTCTACAGTTCCTTAAGTCAGAATAAATGTACAGGGAGCTTGTATAAAAATCACGTCGATAGACTTAGTGAACTACCTGCCTATCTTATAGTTGTATTGTCCTTCTAAATTCATTTTAAAAGAATGAATAAATTTTCGTTTACAAATTAAATTATTTGTCTATCCTGTGGCGTTTCCCCACAGGATAGACAAATTCAGAAACTAAGATGATGACTATTAGATATTACTGACCCGTTTATAAATCATTCACTACCCAATCAATGTCCTATTTTTTATACTGTACATGCACACCAGGTATCAGCTTTAATAATGTTTTTATATTTGTGTATTATTTCCAGGTGGTATAGTAGGTGGCGTTATCGGAGGTTTATCTGCAGCAATCAGTATTGTCTTTGCCTTGATTTTTGTTAAACGGTAATTTTATTTTGTTATATTTTTATTTTCCTCACATTCAACAGCAAGTACACATGCCACTTACAGGATGAGACTTTACTTACAGTGCAATGGTGAAGCAAATTATGCCAACACTCAAATCAATGAAAATATATGTTTATGAACTTATCTTCAACCTACAAATGTAGCACAATTTACCTGTAAGATAAATCACACAAAAGTATGGCGGCAGGTTCTGACACAATCGCTTTCCTGATATTTCTGAAAAGAGCTTATCTCAACAAAAATAAATTGATATTTTTCAAAATCTGTTTTTTTATTTTTTTTATTTTATGATTGTTTTTATTTTATCTTATTAAATTTTTCACATCCTATATTTATTTGTTATTATTTGATCTTATTTTACTTATATTTAAATACATCTAACAGTACACACCACATGTATTCCTTACAAGCTAGTTTTTAGCTTAACTATTTATTGTTAATAATATCCATACTCTTATTAAATAACAAATTTATTAATTTCAATAGATAAGGTGATTAGTATGTACAAATAATTCATTACTCGTTAATTCAAATACTTTCTATCTCTAACATTTTTTTTTAATTCGCCAGTGTGTTGCACATATTCTTTATGTAAACAATGCTTGTGATTGTGTTTGTAGACGCCGTAATTCAAGCAATGAAGTTGTTAGACCAGCTGCTGTTCAAAAACAAGGTGTTTTCGACACAGGTTAGAAGGTTAAGTTCTGTACATGGAAAAAACTAACTTAAATATGTAACATGGCTAAATCCGTTCTCACAATGTCCTAAAAATTCAAGATAATTTTCCAGGACACAGACTGTTTCAAAACTATTCCAAGGAAAAGCTCATTAGAGAACATTTTAAAGGTATCTTACTCAATAATGTCATAGTACTATCATCAACATCATTATCAAAATTATTGTGTTTATCTGTTTTCAATAATATGTAAAGAAAATGAATTGATGCCTGCAGTTGAGGGTCATGCTAATGTAGTGGATGTGAGAAGTCCGGATGATGAGGATGATGGTGCTCCTCCAATTGAAAACGTGTATGCGAACTCTGAACCTGTTTATGGAAATACAAACTTAGAAAATCAGGAATACAGACCGATTGAGTTAGCAAGGCTGCATAATTACGTGAAGAAACAAAACAGCAGCCTAAAAAA